CCCAATATTGGCGCCTTTGCTTCGCCGAGGCTGAGCTGCTGGCTGATACGCTGGATTGCACTCCAGATCTATTGGTACTGGGCTTCTTGCTTTGCTTGTGCGGCTTTGATTCCCATGAGATCTGGCTCTTGGCCATCCAGTCTGCGGGTAGTATATGCTTCGTGTCGCTGCAGTGCGTGGAGAAATTGAATCTGCGCGGTTGAGACGGTGTTTCCGACGGCTACATTGATGGCGGCGACCTGCGATGCCATGATATGCTTGAGCTCGTGCTGAATATCTGGGCCGAGCTTTGACTGCGGCCAAGGTGCTCCTGTAGGCGTGGCTGTGCCTTCTGCTGCTGGAGCTTGTGCTGGAGCTGATGCCATTGGTCCAGAGCTGGCTGCGGCTGCAGTTGGTGCTGATGTAATAGGAGAGCGCTGCTGAGCTGACTGAGCGGCTTGACGTGCCAACCATTGCTGTTGAGCCGTATCGGCTTTTGCTGCAAGTCGGGCGGCTTCATGAGCTTGGTGGGCTTCTTGGGCTTCGCGCCAATCTCGTTCTCGCTGTGCTTGATGGGCTTGCCACTGTGCTTGCCCTTGAGAGGGAAAAGTACGTGCTGCATCCAATTCTTCTTGGGCGGCTCGTTGCCATGCTTCTTGAGTAGCAGCTGAATGAAATCCCTGATGGGCTCCAGAGGCTTCGCGTCCGAGAGGTCCTTTAGATCGTCCACTATGTCATTTGGGCGGCTGGCGTGATCCTTCGGAAGAAGAAGAATCGTGGCGTCTATCCCCATCGCGTCGGCGGTGTCGATCACGGTCGCGGTCTCTATCTCTCTCACTGCACCTTTCAACGTGTCTGCGTCGATCGCGTCGGTGTCCACTGGCTTGGCTTCTGTTTTTCGAATCGTTTCGGGAAGATGCTGAGGCAGAATCTGAATCCATTCGGAAGTGCTGAGCTGAGCTAGACCACGTACCGCCTGTCCGATGCCAAATGAGAGAAGAGCCAATCCACAGACCTGCAATTGTATTAGTTGAAGTAGTAATTGTGCGAAGGTGAACTTCGTTCTGCTGAAATGGAACGGCACCGCAGGCTGGGCAGCCGTGGCGGACCTGTAAGTTATGGGAAGGAACAGAGTTGAATAGCCAGCTGCCTTGGGAAATGTTTTACTTGAACCAAAATCGTTTGAGCCAACATGGCTACGGATGAGGAGGAGGGCGACGACGAAGACGAAGCGGAGCGGCCCAGCCCACCAGCTTTACGCCTGCCTGTGGGGTCCGCGCGGGGCCGTGCACGCGACTCGCGACCCGCCAAGAGGGGGTCCGTGCAGCTGCGGCGCCGCTGCAAGGACCCGCGGCGTGCGAAGGCTGCGGCCTGGGCGCTTCTGCCCAGCGTGCCGCGGCGGCGGCGGCCCCGGCGGCACGCCGTGCGCCCTGCGGGCGGGCAGCGCGTCGCTCCGCCACGCGGCGCGGGAGGCTTCGACGAGCTCGGGAGGCGGACCCTCCGGGTGCGGGGGCGCGGGGAAGGCGCAGCCGCAGCCCGCGGCGCAGGCGTGGCGGGCCAGGGCCCGCGGCGCAGGACACGCCGAGGTCCGCAGTGCACGGCCGCAGGTGCCGACGGCCCCGGGGGGGGGGGCGCGGCCCGCGGGCCCGACGCTCCTCCTCCTCCTCCTCCTCCTCCTCCTCCTCCTCCTCCTCCTCCTCATCCTCCTCCTCCTCCTCCCCATCCTCCTCCCCTCCCCAGGTCGCGTACGGCCCCAGGGGAAACCGTCCTGGGGGGGGGGCGCCGAGCAGAGTGGGCCGCCTGGCCGCCGCGGCGGAGGATGCGAAGCTCGTCGTGGAGCCCGGGGCGGGGCGCCACCCCCAGCAGAGGGTGACTGGCCATCGCTGGGACGTCCACTCCCTGTGCTTTTGGTCGGTTTCGTGCGCGGTTTTGGTCGCAGGGTGCCCCAGGATGCTCCTCATTGGTCCCCGCCGAGAGAAAGTGCACACGTCCGAGCAATACCAGGGTGAGGGCGGGGGGGAGGGCGGCGAGGAGGGCGCAGGTTGAGCACAGCGGCCTCGGAGGTGCGGGTGCGAGCCGGGCTCGGCTCTCCAGCTCCACGTCCGTCTCCCTGCTGCTGTCGCCGACCTCCGTCGCGTTCGCGGGTGAAGAAGGCCAGAATCAGTCGAGGGTGTCGAGATCGAGCTTCGGTTCCAGACCAGAGGCACCATGCAGAGCAAAAGCGCTTGCTGCCAGCGGCCACCTTCACCGCACGCACTCGCCCCAGAGCTGGAGTTGAGTGGGTTCGGCTGCAACGGTTACATGCAATAAGGAGCTGGTCGGATAATCATTTCACTGCCACTGAATCGCCTGCCCCCTCGAGCAACGACACCTGCTTCCACTGCCCGCCTTGTTCACAAATTCTGGCGACAAGCCCCTGGAGACAGGCATCTGCTTCCAGTCTCCTCGAGCGCATTTCCCTGAGAAGCGAAATAGCCTGCTGCCACTGGTCGCCCTCCCCGTACGCACTAATCCAAGCGTGGTAGCTGACAGCGTCGGGCTCTAAGTTTACCTCCACAGCCTCGCTGAGCAGCGCCAGCGCCCGCTGCCACTGCCCGCTCTTCTCGCACGCGGTGGCCCCAGCGTTGTAGGCGACAACACATGTGCACGTGTGGGTGGAATCCACGTGTGAATCTAGAGTGTCTCAGCAAATTTGCGCCGATTCGATGTCGGTCGATGTCAGCGAAGGCTCTTGTCGACAACTGAGCTGATTTGGGAGGACAGCTTCCTGAAAAGGTCCTGCCCGAAAACTCGGCCTCCCCCTGGTCCTGCATCTCCTTCGGGCTCTGACGTCTCTGACTGTTGTCTGCTGTTGGTAGCGACTGCGTGCCCCGAAGATGGAAATGGCCGTCAGAAGCAGTGCTGCTGGGTTGGCGGCTGCTGGACGGCATCGAGGCACCTGGAATTTCTTCGGGGGCCCAGGGCGTCCTGGGGCCGTTTCGAGGTCCCTTGGGGCGTCTCGGGGGGCCTCTCGGGCCCTTTCAGGGCCACTCTGGTGCCCTCTTGGACTGCTTGGGGGGTAGATTGGAACGCTCTGGGACTGTTGTGAGGCTCCTGATGGTTCCCTGGGTGCTGTCTTAGGTTGTCTTGGACGCCGCTGGGGGGTGCCTCGGACTTTCATGTAACAATCCTGAGCTGCTTGCCTCCACCGCTGGGTATGGCTGCTATATGTTACTTGGTAGCTGGTGTTTGTTGTGGCCTGCTGCTGGATCTGCCACGTGCGGCTGCCGACTGCTGCTGCTGATCGCTGCGCTGCCGTTGGCTATACAATGGCTGCTGCTGCTGCTGCTGCTGCTGCTGCTGCTTGAAACTGTGGCTTGCTTGCTGCTGGCTGCTGCTTCTGCTGGCTTCGTTGCTGCTGGCCTCGCTGCTGCTGGCACTGCTGATGCTGTCGTCGCGCCGTGCTGCCGCTTGCCACCACTCTGCTTGCTGCTGGTGGCCATCCGGGAAGCCGCTCGCCCTGCTGCTGCTCGCTGGGCTGATGATGGAGAGCATCGGGGCACGTCTTGGATATGTTGGGGAGCTCCTTGTGGAGCAATGCCAAGGGAGGCCAGCACTAGGGATGTCACCACGACTTCCTCGAGGAAACGCCATTGTCTCCAGCGCCTTCCACGGCGTCCCCAGCCGTCCAAGCGCCTCCTCGAGCTTCGATCCTGGAACCTCGACCCTCACAAGGAACACAGGCGACCTCGACCCTCACGAGGAACACGGGTGACCCCCAACTGATGTTGACCACCCTGGGCACTGCCCGACACCGGGAGGTCACGAGCCGTTGCGGGGCATCTCGGGGCCCCGCTGGAGCCTCTTGGGTGGTCGGGGGCACCTCTCGGGCTGCCTGGGCGGGGGGGGGCATCGCTGGGCCCTCGCAGGCCTCATTGGGGGGCATCTTCGGCCTTGCGCCGCTCCAGGGCCGCCTTGAAGTGCGTGGTGGCCCTTCGGCGGGCTCTCTTTGGGCGGTATGTTGGGCGCCGCGGGCGGCTGCCTTGAACCGTCTATGGGCTCTTCTGGACTGTCTTGGGGTCCACCTGGGGGTCGTGTCGGACCTTCCTGCAGGCCTCATACGGTAATTTGGGGCCCTCTGTAGGGTCCCTGGCGCAATCTTGGACTGGAGCGCCTGGCACGGTAAAACCACCTGAAGACAGCTTGCGGTTTGACAGGCGGAGGGCCTCGGGGCCTTGTGAAGCTGTCTTGTTCCAGGGGCCGTCCTGGAAGCACCCGGACACCGCTCTGGGTCGTCAGGGGACCCTCCTGGGCTGAAACACCCGCCCTCATGACAATCGCCCTGGGCCGAAACGCCCACCCGCATAACAATCGCCCTCACATGCGTGGCGCTTCCCACCTCACCCATAAACATGATGGAGCAGTTCGGCAAGCGCACAAGGCTGATCACTCAAAACGTCCCAGAAGGGTTTGGGTAGTTGTTCCTCCTTTCCCGTCAAGGGGGGGGGGGCCAGCGGGGACACCTTGCAACCATCATTGAATCGTTGCTGCTGCTTGCGGCTCCCTCCTTGCTGATACGTGTTGTCGCGAGGCGATTGCTGTTGCCTGCTGCGTGCTTCTGCTTGCAATGCTACTCGAAACTGACTGCTGTCGCTGTTCGCTGCTGTATGCTGCGTGCTTATCTATGCTCATGTTGGCTGCTGATGCTTGATGCGGCCCGCTGGCTCAGACGACTGCCGTTTCCTGCTGCTTGACAATGTTGTTTCATGCTATTTGCTTGCTCTGCTGCTGCTTGGTTCGGCCGCTGCTGGAGGGTCCCGGGACACTGTTGGAATACCTTGGGGCCTTACGGGCCGTCTTAGAACATTTGAGGACCGACGAGAGGGGGGCCACTGGGCAGTATTGGATGCATCTCCTCAAACGCATGACGCTGGGCTCCAACATTGCCATCCCTATCTCGCCGAGCAGCGACAGGACTTGCTGCCAATGCCCGCATTTCTCCATGGCGCTGATTCCAGCGCTGTAGCTGATGATGTTGGGCTCTAGGGTCCCAGCCAACATCTCGTCATGAAGCAACAAAACTTGCTGCCATTGCCCACTTGCCTCGCACGCGCTGATCCCAGCGTTATAGCTGACCTGAATATTAAAAACAAAACTGAGACAAGCCACTGCGGACATATAGTCATGTAGGCTTGGCGTCCAGAAGTGAATGGCGAAGAAAGAAGGGATTGCACAATCGACGATGTGTGGACGCAGCATCTTGGGGCTCCTCCGGGCCCAAGTTTGATCATTCTTATGGACGTGCTGGACCGTGTTAGGTCGTGTCGGGATATTTTGAGAAGGTCTGGGGTGCATAGCGGGGTCTCCTTGGAGCGATTTGGGTTCATCTGGGGCAGTCCGAATCCAAAGAAACGAGCAGAACCCTCCCCCCCCCCTAAAGTGCATTCTCCAGCGCCCTCTTCCGGCGCACTGCTCAAAACCACCTCCCCTCCATAATAATTAGGACGCTGTCAAAAGACTCCCGGGGGGGGGGCGCGATCCACCGTCGCCGGCCAGGATCAACTTCTATCAGGGGGGGTCAGAGCGCAGGCCCCCCCCCCCTCCACCTCCGCGAACATGGAAGAGAGGAGGGGGGAGGGGTGTGCGGGGGGGCGGAACGGAGGGAGAGGGGGGGGTAAAGATGGGAAGGGGAGGGGGGGGAGTGGGAGGGAAAGGGGGGGGGGGGGGGGGGGGGAGGGGGGGAGGGCGGGGGGAAGGGGGGGGGGGGGGGAGGGGGGGGGGGGGGGAAACCAAGGAACCTCACCACCTGACCCCCCCTCCCCCCAACCACCCTCCCTCCCCGCAAAGAGCCGGGGAAGTCTGGAGTGCTCTCCCCCCCTCCTGGGGAAATTAATCGGGGGGTCCAGATTCGCCCACCTCCCCCCCAGGAAAAAAATCCCCCTGAGAAAATTCGAGGTCCAGGGACCCCTCTGCCACCCCAGGCAGCAACGACGACGGCGACGACGACGACGACGACGACGACCACGACCATGATGCCTACGACGACGCCGACGACGCCGACAACGTCAGCGGCGGCGGCGCACCTGTGCCAGAGTCCGCGACAGGCGCCGGCTCTGATATAATGCTAGCAGTGCTCGGTCCAGCTGTCGAAACCCTACTTGAGCCCGAGCGTACTCTGCCCTACTCTACTCTACCCTACCTTACTCTACTCGACTCTCCGCATCTCTACTCTACGCTACCCTGCTCGACTCTACTCTACCCTACTATACTTCACCATACCGTACCCTAACGTACTCGTCTCGTCTCTACTCTGCTCTACCTTGCTCCTATTATACTCTGCTCTACTCAACTTTACTCTACTCTACTCGACTCACCTCTGCTCTAATCATCTACACTGGTCTACTCGACTCTACTCCATTACGACCTACATCGACCTACTCGATTCTACTCTACCCTACTCTGCCTTTCCGTATCGCACCGAATTTTACTCGAAGGTACTCGACCCTACTCTACGCTACTCCTGTAAGCCGGCTGCTCTGCGGTTGAGCGGGAGTTTCTGTATGTAGAAGAGGGGTCGTGTGCATGTGGGCGAGAGGAGAATGAGCGGGAGGCGGTGGTGCAACGGGGGAGGACGAGGAGGATGAGGTTATCCTCACCACCTCCTCCTCCCCCTCCTTCTCCTCCCCCTCCTTCTCCTCCACCTCCTCCTCCACCTCCTCCTCCAACTCTCCTCCTCCTCCTCCTCCTCCGCCCCTTCTCCCTCCTCCCCTCCTCCGTCCCCCTACGTCCTGCTCCCTGCTCATCCTCGTCATCGTCCTCGGAGGCCCTCCTCGGGGGTGATTTGGCGACTCTGCGAGGGTGTCTCGAGCGGGAGCCCCAGATTGGGACACGCCCGGGTCGACCTTTGCAAGGATGTCTCGAGCGAGAGCCCTGGACAGCGCCCCGGCGAGCGCCGGCAGATCCCCAGAAATGCTCATCTCTTTCTCGGTGGACTGGGTTCTTTCCCGGTAAACTGGATTCCTTCCTGGCGCGGCGCTGGGAAAGACTTTAGTTTGGTGTGGTTTTTGCAAGGAAGTCTCGCGCGTCGGTTTTCCACAGTGCCGCTGGCATCTTAATGGTTCTCACCTCGGTTTCGCGGGGGACACGCCGGGAAAGAGTCAAGATGTGAACACTACGACTACTACGACTCTTACTACTACGACTACTACTACTACTACTACTACTACTACTACTACTACTACTACTACGACTATAACTACTACGACTACTACTACTACTACTACTACTACTACTACCACCACTACTACGACTACTACTACTACTACTACTACTACTACTACTACTACTACTAAAACTACTAGTAGTACTACTGCTACTACTACTACTACTGACTACTACTACTACTACTACTACTACTACTACTACTACTTCTACTACTACTACTACTACTACTACTACCACTACCACTACTAATACTACTACTACTACTCTAACTACTACTACGACTACTATACTACTACTACTACTACTACTACTATAACTACTACTACTAATCTTCACTCTACTACTTTTACTTCTTCACACTACTACTAACTACTACTACGACTACTACTACTACTACTACTACTACTACTACTCTACTACTACTACTACTACGAAATACTGCTACTACTACTACTACTACTACTACTACTACTACTACCACTACTACTACTACTACTACTACTACTACTACTACTACTACTACTACTACTACTACTACTTTTCTACTACTACTACTTTCTCTACTACTACTACGATACTACTACTACTACTACTACTACTACTACTACTACTACTACTACTACTACTACTACTACTACTACTACTACTACAACTACTACTACTACTACTACTACGACTACTACTACTACTACTACTACTACTCTACTACTACTACTACTACTACTACTAGTACTACTAGTACTACTACTACTACTACCACTTCCATTACTACTACTACTACTACTACTACTACTACTACTACTACTCCTACTACTACTACTACTACTACTACTACTACTACTACTACTACTACTACTACTACTACTACTACTGTCGTAGATGTAGTCGTACTCGTAATCCTAGTGGTCAGAATAATAATGTGAGTACTACTCGTAGTAGTAATCGTAGTATTGTAACTAGTAGTAGTAGTCGCAGTAGCAGTAGTAGTAGTAGTAGTAGTAGTAGTAGAAGTAGAAGTAGTAGTAGTAGTAGTAGTCGTAGTAGTAGTAGTAGTAGTCGCAGTAGCAGTAGTAGTAGTAGTAGTAGAAGTAGTAGTAGTAGTAGTAGTAGTAGTAGTAGTAGTAGTAGTGGTGGTAGTAGTATTAGTAGTAGTGCTCGTCGTACCCGTAGTGGTAGTAGCAGTAGTAGTAGTAGTAACAGAGAAGAAGTAGTTGCTGTAGTTGTAGTAGTCGTAGTAACCGTAGTCGTGGTAGTAGTAGATGTAGTAGTAGTAGTAATAGTAGTAGTAGTAGTAGTAGTAGTAGTTATTGTGGTAGTCGTAATAGTAGTAGTAGAAGTAGTAGTAGAAGTAGTCGTAGTAGTAGTAGTCGAAGTAGGAGTAGTAGTGATCGTAGACAAGTAATAATAGTGGTAGTAGTAATCGTAGTAGTAGTAGTAGTAGTAGTTGTTGTTGTTGTCGTACGAGTAGCAGAAGCAGCACGAGAAGTACGAGTAGCGGGAGTAGTAGTAGTGGAAGTCGTGTTAGTCGCAGTAATAGTAGTAGTCGTAGAAGTAGTAGTAGGAGTAGTAGTAGTAGTATCAGTAGTAGTGGTATTAGTATTAGTAGTAGTAGTAGTAGTCGTCGCAAGAGTCGTAGCATTTGTAGTAGTAGTTGTTGTTGTAGTGGTCGTGGTACTAGTAAGGGTCGTAGTCTCAGTCGTAGTCGCCGTCGTAGTAGTAGTCGTAGAAGTCGTCGTAGTAACAGTAGTGATAGTACGAGTAGTAGTAGAAGTAGTAGTAGTAATAGTAGTACTAGTAGTAGTAGCAGTAGTAGTAGTAGTAGTAGTAGTATGAGTCGTAGTGGTAGTAGTAGTAGTAGTAGTAGTAGTAGTAGTAATAGTAGTAGCAGTAGTAGTAGTAGTAGTAGCAGTACTAGTACTAGTACTAGTACTAATACTAGTAGTCGTAGTAGTAGTAGTAGTAGTAGTAGTAGTAGTAGTAGTAGTAGTAGTAGTAGTAGTAGTAGTAGTAGTAGTAGTAGTAGTAGTAGTAGTAGTAGTAGTAGTAGTAGTAGTAGTAGTAGTAGTAGTAGTAGTCGTGCTAGTAGTAGCAGTATCGTAGTTTTATGATAGCACTAGTGGTATTAGTACTTGTGGTATAGTAGTTGTTGTAGTCGTCCTAGTACTGGTACTAGTACTATTAGTAATAATAATAGTGATATGTTTGAAACCTGTTGTTGAAGGCTTGATGTTTCGTCCAAAATCCGCCTGCAGGTGGGCATGCCCGACACAGCGACAAGCCCCCGAGGGAGCAGAGCCGCGGGCTCTGGGCGTGGTGGGCTATCGGGCACCCGTCGGCGGTGCATGGGCGGCTGAGGAGCTAAGGACGGACGCATCCACCCACCAAGCTTAAGGTCGGGCCCGTCCCCTGCACGCGGATTCTGAGCGACATATGCGAAATACCCAAAAAGTATTCCAAGCATAATCAAACATGGTTAAAAACAAAAAATCGTCCCAGACTATGTTTCTAACCCATGTTCGGGGCATTCCTCCTGCAGAGGGACAGGCCCGATTCAACACTGAGCCTGTCCGCCCCGTGTCGTTGCCCCCGGAAGGGGAGGCCGGGTTGGCTGCCCCGCCGAAACGGGCTCTGGCAGGGCCAGGCATCCCTCCAGTACATGGACATTATATTCGAACCCTGTGGCCCAAGATGCCCCCCAGACCCCCCGAAATTAATATTGATGGCTTGGCGACGGGGGGGGCGTGAGTGGACAGAAATATTCGAACCCCAAAGCACCGCCTTTACTGAGATCAACATTGATGTCGGGGGCGCGGGGGTGAATTAGAATCTCCCTCAAATTTGTAGGTAAGGGTTCGAATATACTGGACCCCCCCGCAGCATGGTACTGATTACGCTCGGCTCCAGCCTCGCCATCCGCATTCCGCGGACCAGTGTCAGAGCTCGCTGCCACTGGTCGCCATGCCGGCACGCGCTGATCCCGGCGCTGTAGCTGACAACGTTGGGCTCAAGCATCGACTCAAGCGCGTCGCGGAGCAGAGACAAAGACTTCTGCCACTGCCTGCCTTTCTCGCACGCGCTGATCGCAGCATTGATGCTGACGAGGTCGGGCACCGCTGCAGCCTCCCGCAATGTGCTGAGCAGCGACAGAGCTCGCTGCCACTGCTCACCGTTCCCGCACGCGCTGATCCCGGCGCTGTAGATGACTACAGTCGGGCTTCTGAAAGAAGGAACGCTAACTAAGGAACGAAGCCCCTCTGCGGCTTCAGAACAGCCCGGGTGCACGAGAAGGGCTATGGAGGAACAACCGCGGAAGGACGTAAGGCACATCGAGCCCCTTCCGAATCCAAACTGCTCCTTACTTCAGCGTCTCGGCTGTACTGCTGGACCGCGGACACGCGCCCGCGAGGAGCGGACAGCTCGACCGGCGGCGTGCTGGCACGCGAGCCTGGCCGATCCCTGCTCGCTTGCCGGCGTGCCGCCGCCGGCAGTGCTGCCTGCGCGCGGAGCAGCCCAGCGCAGCGCTCGTCCGCGGGCGGCCGCCTGGCTGCCGCCTGGCTGCCGACCGGCTGCCCGCGGACGCTCCTCCTCGCTGCTCCTGCCTGCTGTGTGCTGGCGCGCGCTGCTGCTTGCAGCTGCCTCTCTCGCTGGGTGACCCAGAAGGGGGTCCAGCGGAAAAGGGGGTGGTGCAACAGATTCGGGGCAGCTGTGTTGCAAACGCACTGCGCCGGAGAGCTGTACTGCATTGCACTGCAAGTAGTGTATGGCCCGCGAAAATCCAGCAATACATTTGTGCCCTGGAATGTATTGCACGCCCCAATTGTATTGCAACCCCAAACATGTATTGCACCAGATCTATTGCACCACCCCCTTGTCGCTGGGCACCCTTTTGGATCAACCCGACTCTTGCTCATGCTGCTCTTCCACCCGCTGCCGCTCACTGCCGCCTGCAGCTGCCTGGCTGCTCACTGCCTCTGCTCGCCTCTTCGAATCGCGTGCGCGCATCCTTTATGCGAGGCTAAACCAAGAACAAACTGGCGCACTCGAAACTTGATGATCCTTGCAATCATCACAGTGTTCATTGACGCTAACCTGCACCGCGCGCGTGGGAACAGTACATGAGAGAGAGAGAGAGCGTGATCCACCGCCGCTTTACCCTGGAAAATTCCCCCTCCTCTTTCTCCAAACCCGGGGGTCCCCCCCCCCCCCCTTCGACCCCTCCCCCCTGCTGGAACCCCTCCCTCCCCTCCCCTTCCTCCCGGCCCTCCCCCCCCCTAACCCCTCCCACCCCCCCCCCAGGAAAACCAGGGGGGTCACTACCGGTTCGAGCCCCCCCCCCCCCCCCCCCCCCCCTTCCCACCCCCACTCACCCCCGGCAAACGACTCCGGGGTCCCGACCACCGTCCGCACTACATCCCCCATTGCTGTCCCCAGCACCACTGTCCCCACTGTTCCCACCACCGTCCCCACTGTCCCCACCACTGTTCCCACCAGGGACCCACTGTCCCCACTGTCCCCGCCGCTGTCCCACTGTGCTGTCCCACTGTCCCACTGTCCCCACCAATGGCCCACTGTTTCAGTGACCCCGCCGCCGCCGTCCCACTGAGCTGTCTCACTGTTCCCACCACTGTCCCCACTGTCCCCCCCACTGTCCCCACTGTACCTCTGTCCCATTGTCCCACCACCGTCCTCGCCGCCGCCCTCACCACTGTCCCCACCACCACTGTCACCACCACTGTCCCATTGTCCCCACCACATTCCCACTGCCCCCACACCACTGTCCCCACCACCACCGTCCCCACCACTGTCCCACTGTCCCAACTGTTCCCACCATTGTTCCCGCTGTCCCCACCAGTGCCCCCACCAGTGTCTCACTGTCTCCACTCTCCCCACCATTGTCCCACCACGATCCCACTCTCCCCACTTTCCCCACGGTCCCCACCACCGTCCCACTGTTTTCACTGTTCCCACCACTGTCCCACTGTCCCCACTGTCTCCGCCGCTGCCCCACTGTGCTGTCCTACTGTCCCACTGTCCCCACCAAGGTCCCAGTGTCCCCACTGTCCCCACCACTGTCCCCACCACTCTCCCCGCTGTACTACTGTGCCACCACCGTCCTCACCACCGCCTTCACCACTGTCCCCACCACTACGGTTCCCACCACTGTCCCACTGTCCCCACCACTGTCCCGCTGTCCCCTCACCACTGTCCCCACCACCACCGTCCCCACCACTGTCCGCACCACTGTCCCACTGTCCCCACACCAATGTCCCCACCACCACCTTCCCCCACCACTGTCCCAGTATCCCCGCCACTGTCCAACCGTCCCGAGGAGCGGGAATCGTTTGCCGGCGGCGGGGGGGCTTCGAACCGGTAGTGACCCCCCCCGGTTTTCGAGAGGGGGGGGGGGGGACGGGTTGGGAACCCCCAGTGACCCCCCTCCCCGTTTTCCGCCAGCAGCGGTAGAGAACACGCTCTTTCGCACACGAAGGCCCAGCTCTGATCGAGAGGGCCCCGCTGTGCCACTTTGTGTGGTTCTCTCGCGGCCGCCTTGGGCTGCTCTGGAAGCCAGTGGAACCACGTCGGGGCCCCCTTCGTCTTTTTGTTGTCGGGGCACGGCTCTGCCGCCTTCGAGCCCTCTCGGGCGACTGTGGAGATGGGCCGGCCGTGCCCCCATCCCATGGAATCTGCGGCAGGAGCTCTCGGAAGGCCCGAGGCAACGAGCAGATGAGGTTCTGACATGCTGTTCGGTGCTAGAAGACCCCCTCGAGCAATGAACAAAAACATGACGGTCAATTTTTCACAATTTTCGGCATCTGGGGGACCTTACCGGGCCCCGGGACCGTCAAAAAACGACTCAGGATGAACGACCGGTCCCGGGGAACAGGTCGAAACCTCTAGGGGTCGACGTCATGAAAAATCATGACGCCGGGGGTCTGGGCTAGAAGATGAAACTTGTTGCGCTCCGCGCGGACTTCTTGGATCTGCGCTGAACCCCCCTCCCTGGCGCGCGCAGCGCGCCAGGTGCGGCGCCGGAGGCGCCTCCATGGGGGGGCCAGGCGCAGATCGGAGAAATCCGCGCGGAGCGCAAAAAGTTTATGTGTGTGGCGCTTTTTCCTCCTTCTTCTTCTTCTTCTTCTCCTTCTTCGAGGTGCGGAAGCATCCGTGGGCTTCCCTTGGCGCCTCTCGGCGGCCTCGTGGAGCCTTCTCGGGGCGCGCTGGGCCTGCCTTTAGGTCGGGCGTGTCCCCGTACAGGCGGATTTTCGATGAAAAATTAAAAATAGTTTAAAAATACTCCGAAATTGTCAAAAGTAGGAGAAACATCGAGCCCAGACTATGTTTTCACTATTTTTCAATATTCCCCCTGTAGAAGGACGTGCCCGACTTAAGCCTGCCTTTTGGGAGCGCCTCGTGGGGCCCTGGAAAAGCAAGCAGAGCGGGGGGGGGGGGCACACATCGGCTACATGCAAGAGTGACACTAGGCAAGAGTGACCTTTGGTGCGCGGACTGACGGGGCGCAGGGTGGCCAAATCCAAGCGCGCAGTCAGCCGCTATCGCATCGCGCTCAACCATCGGGGGGACCCTGATGAGCCCGCACCACCAAAGGTCACTCCGGCGAAGGGTCACTCTTACGTGCAGTCAAACAGAGGAGCTGAGGAGCTGCGAGAGCGACGGGAGGAGGCGCCCGAGGGCGCCCCCGGAGGCGGCCCGCAGCCCCTGGGCTTCCTGGCAACGCTCGTGCCGCACGCTGCCCCCCCGCTCGGGCGGGCGGCAATGGTTGAGCAGGGACCGACCGTCCTGGCATTCCTATAGGCCTACTAAGACATGTTCTTAGACCCTAGAAGTTCTGAGAGCAAAAACCAGATTCTTAGAACGCAAGCCAGAGGTGTCAAAAGAGGACGGTCTCGGCCAGACATGTTCCAACATTTCGTAGAAACCACAGGAGGTTCTTCGAACATTGTTTGGTGGGCCTATAGGCACGCCAGGACGCTTCGCCACTGCTTGATAATAATGGGGGGTGGCCTAAATGTGGTGTGAACAAAAAGGGCTCGAAAGGGGCCCTTTGGGGCCCCTTTCTGGCACCTGCTGGCTCCCAGAGGGGCCCTAAAGGGGCCCCCGAGGGCCCGGTTCTTCACCCACCATGTGGGTCACCCCCCATTGCCGCCCGCCCCACCCGCTTCGCAGGAGGAGCCATCGGTAGAGCTCCTGAGCTCACCCAGGGGCAACGAAAACAGTGGGCGCCCAAGACCATTCAGAAAACGGCTGCGCATGAATGACGTCTGCTGCGCGGGGTCCCCTGGCCCTCCCCTGGGGCCGCTCTCCAGGTGCTTCGCGCGCCCGGCCTGGCTTCTCGGAGCCGTCTTGGGCCGTCTCGGGGCCGCCTGTCGGGGTCGTGGGCCGCCTCTTGGCCGGCCGTGGGGGCCGTCGTGGGCCCGCCTCGGGCCGCCTGTGCGGCGGCCGGCGCAGCAGGCTCCCTTGGAGCCCCCCGGGCCGCTGCCACCTCGACACCTCCCGCGCGCGCTGCCGCGAGCGTCGCAGCACAGGTGACGTTGGGCTCCAGATTCACATCCCGCATCTCCCTGAGCAGCCACAGAGCCTGCTGCCACTGCCCGCCTTCCTTGCACGCGCTGACCCCGGCGGAGCAGCTGACTAACGGTGGTGCGGGGCAACGTCGGGCATGCGCGGGCAGCCTGGCGCTAATATTGAATCTGCTTGCGCCAGATCAGAGCAAGACTGTCTCACCTGCAGGGGTACCTGGTTGGCCAACGAAATATGCCTAGGCACTGTTTTCTGCCCGTCTATTCCTTGGTTTGGGGCTTGTCCAGCAGCGCTTGAGAATCAGAGGTTTTCGTCTGGGAGCCATAGATGAAGAGGAATAGGAGGACGAGAAACGACGGCGGAAGGAGGACGTCGATGAGAACGCTTTGATGGCCGCTGGTCATTGCGGTGGTGCCGAGGAACACGACAGCGGCGATGGCTGCGATTCTGAATGGAGCTGCAGGCAGCTGCAAAGAAGAGCATGCTCATCTGTTCAGCTGCCGGCATCCCCATTCAAACAGGTTTCCACCAAGTTTCAGCTGCGCTTGTCAGCTGCCCGCGTCCCTCTTCAGCCGCCTGCATGTTTCAGCTATGCTTATCAACTGACACTCTCGGCACACGTTGAGACATGCTCGAGCATGTCGCAGCGTGTGCCCAGACAGTCAGCTGGACAGCGCAGCCTTCACCAGGACAGTCGCTTGGGAGCGGCCCGTGCGGAACAACTCGGAGCCTCCCAACCCAGGCAGGAAGAGAAGGGTCGGGGTCGGGAGGCGAGCCGAAAAAACCCTACGGCGCCGCTTGCGTGGCGGTGAAGCTGGAGAGCGCCCGGGAGGCTCCTGGCGCGTCGCGAAGCCCTGGCGGTTGTTTAGAAGAAGAAGAAGAAGAAAAACAAATCCCACATAAACCTAAACTGTTGGCGCTCCGTGCGGATTTCTTGGATCCGCGCCGGACCACCCTCCCTGGCGCGCGGAGCGCGCCAGTGGCGGCGCCGGAGACGTCGCCAGCGGATCCAAGAAATCCGCGCGGAGCGCCAAAAAATTATGTTTATGTGCTTTTTCTTCTTCGATTGTTACCTTCTGAGCGGGAGGGGGGGGGCGCTGCGCAGCATGGCGGGCCCTCCCGGTCCGGGGGGGCATGTCCCCCTACAGCGGGGTTTTGGGCGACAAAATCAAAAGTAGTCAAAAAATACGGCAAAGTGGTCAAAATAAGTAGTCAAAATAACTACTTTGGAAGGTTCCTCCTGTAGAGGGACAGGCCCGACTTGGCGGGCGTTTTTCGGGCCCTCCCCGTGGATCGCCCCCCCCCCCCCCCACCCCCCCCCCCCCCCCCACTGCTCGACGCCCGACTGACGCCGGCCCCGAGGAAGAGGTCGGGCCTCCGGGGGGACGCCGCGCGGCACGGTCGGGCCACCGCGCGGCCTGCAGGAGGCGCTCCTGGCCCAGGGAGCGCCCCCAGCTCCTCGCGCCCCGGGGCCGGGCGGACGGGCCCCAAAGCCCGAACAGCGCCCGGTCGGGTCGGAGGGCCCAGGGGGCCTCTCTGGGGCCGCCCCGAAGAGCAACGTCCCAGGAGGCCTCGGCACCTGCCGCGAGGCCCGGGCGGAGGAGCCTCCGGAGCCTGCAGCCAGACGAGCACCCAACGGGCACCCTCTTTCTCCTCCTCCTCCTCCGTCCTCCGTCCTCCTCCTCCTCCTCCTCCTCCTCCTCCTCCTCCTCCTCCTCCTCCTCCTCCTCCTCCTCCTCCTCCTCCTCTTACGTCGGGCATGTCCACCCCTACAGGCGGATTTTGGACGACAAGTCAAGAATACACAAAACTACCCAGAAATAGTTAACACATACTCGAACAATCGTCCCCATACTATTTTTGGTTCCCATTGTTGAATGTGTTCCTCCTGTGGAGGGACACGCCCGGCTTAACGCTACTCCCCGGACCTCTCCCGGGGAGCGTTCTTGCCCTGATTTCGAGGCGAAAGCAGTGGCGACGAGGGCCTCCCGGGAGGTCCAAGCAGGCGAAAACGAGGGAAGGGTAGCGGTATCGGCACCTGTTTCTTCTCTGAACCCCCTCGTGGGCGGAAGACAGATCCGCCTCCACGGACTCGCGGGCCAAGCCGTGGGCAGCGGCCCATGTCCGGTGGCAACTCGTGGGAGCCTTCCATAGCATCTTGTCGGCTCTTGCGCATTGACGCTAGTCGACGCCAAATCGACGCTAATCGACGTTCAATCGACGCTAATCGACGCAACCCACGCTAAATCGGCGCGATCTCATCGACTCCAAGATGCTGATCGACGCTAGTCGACGCTAAAGACGGAGTTCCAAGTTCCCATCATTTCGATATGAATACGTTCGTTGCTCGTGAGTCCGGCTGCGGAAACTCAGGATCAATCAGCATCGAATCGGTATGTCGGAAAATCGGGTCGGATCGGAAATTGTACCTGGCAGCATCTGCGCGGAGTCGGACTCGGATTGGATCGGCTGCGCAAAGGTGTCGGACTCGAATCGGATCGGCTGCACAAAGGTGCACAACAACGCCATGCAAACGTCGGGCAGCGTCGGAATGTCAGGGCATCGGAATCGAATCGGATCAGGCCAGTCGAGACCGATATCGAATCGGATCGGTCGGATCGACATGTAACCATGATGGGCCGATTTTCCACCACCACCACCAACATAGGTAGGAGAGGGAGGAGGAGGAGGAGGAGGAGGAGGAGGAGGAGGAGGAGGAGGAGGAGGACCTCCCCATCCTCCCTTCTCCCCCGTCCTGCCCATGGCCGTGGCGGTGGAACGCTGGCCCATGAAGCCAGGGGGCGGGGGCCCAGAGGCCGTCTGCGGAAGCCTGGGCCCAGAAAGGACGGGGCGGAGCAGCAGGAGAGTGAGAGGACGGGGGCGGGGGTGGGCGCGGGAGGGGAGGAGCGCGCGGGGCACAGTCCTCGTGCTGCCAGGAGGAGCGCAGCACCAGGGAGCAGAAGAGCGCTTCTGGCCACGGCGAGCCTCGGCCACTGGCCACGACCAGGTTCCCGGACCTTAAGCCGAAGAAAAAGCGGCGGCCCGATCACCAGAGCACCTCCCGAGCCCCAAGTGGTCCTTGTGACGGCGCCCTGGCTGTAGGCTTACATGAGTTATCGTTTAACCGACCCCCGTCCCCAGCGGCGTGGCCTGGGCCCCACTGGCCGATCTACCCCCCCTAGCTGGGGATACGGGTCGTTCCCTTCGGGCTTCGAGGGGTGTATCCCCAACTTGGGTGGTAATTTGGTGGGGGTCGTGAAGGGGATGGGGATGGGGATGGGGACTGGGTAAACGATTCTGATTACATCTGCCTTCAGCCGCGCCTCCCGCATCTCCCCGAGCAGCGCCAGCGCCTGCTCCCACTGCCCACCCTTCTCGCAGGCGCTCGCTCCCGCGGAGAAGGCGGCGACGTCCGGCTGCAGCCTCGCGAGCCGCAGCTCGCGCAGCACCGACAGCGCCTGCTGCCACTCCGAGGCCGCCGCGCACGCGCGGATCGCAGCGCCGTAGCAGACGACGGCCGTCCCTGCTGTGGCCCCTCGCCCCTCGCGCAGAAGCAGCAGCGCCCACTGCCACTGACCCTCCTTCACGCAGGCGACGACTCCTGCGCTGTAGCTGATCAGGTCTGGCCTCAGACTCGACTGCCACATGCGGCCCAGCAGCGACAAGGCCTGCTGCCACTCCCCATCATTGGCTAACGCGCTGATTCCAGCATTATAGCTGATCGCATTCGGCCGCAAATGTTGTTCCAACATTTCCCCGATTAAGGCCAGCGCTCGCTGCCACCGCCCGCCATTTCCACACGCGCTTACTGCAGCGTTGTAGCTGATTCGAGCTGGCCAGTGGCTTGTCGTCCCCGGACAATTTCGAGTGCAATGCTTCGGAATGCTGCTTTGAAGCCGTCGCCGATGACGACATCCACGGGCCTGCTCTCAATTACGCGCAGATCACGGCTCGTCACAAGAACGCACACAATCAAAGTGACACCTTTCATGCACAAAGGCCGCGCGCCTCCTGGGGCCAAATAAACGGATTCACAAGACGGTGGGCGTAGAAATCACGCTCTGCGGCCATTGGCCCTGTTCTTTCGTACGTGGTATACGCTGTTGCATGCGCAGGGCGCTTAGGATACCGCCACACTTCCCGCGCCCATGCATCCGATGCGCTTCGGCCTCCTACGCGCTGGCTATCCCAGCGGCCGAGCGGAGCCTGCGCAGACCCAGCGGCAGCAGAGCCGAGGGCCGGGAGAGCCCGCCGAACCGGAGCCACGGGCGGTCAAGGTCACCAAAAAGGGCGGCCGATCCGCAGCCGGCTGGGGCTCTCTGAGACAGTCCCATACCCTGCCTGGGCCCCTGGAGCCCCTCCTGGAGGCAAGCGCGCCTGAGTGGAGCGAGCGTGCCGCTGGCACTCTCGCGAGCACGCACCCTCGAAATTTTCGAAGAGGAGGAGGACGACGAATGGGGAGGAGGAGGAGGAGGAGGAGGAGGAGGAGGAGGAGGAGGAGGAGGAGGAGGAGGAAGAGGAGGAGGAGAAAGGGGGAGGAGGAGGAGGAGGAGGAGGACAAGGATAAGGACATCCGCATGAGGGGGTAACGTCAAAGCACCTACTCGGACGATCTACGCGCTATTGTCAAAATCTCCTGCGCTTGGTTGTGCGACGGCCCTGTTTCCTCACTGGGGCCGGCGGGGGTCATACCCCGAAGTTCGAGGACCGAGCTCCGATGTGGCCCCGTAAGAGAGGCTCGCAACTTTACATCGCGAGTCCCATCGGGTCAGTGCGGGGTGAGCAACTGCTGGCCCTTCCGCGTGCCCTTGGGGAGGGGGGCGCGCGGGCTTAGCAAGGCGCCCAAGCCAAGGGGGTGGAAGAGACGACGACACGCCCTCAAAAGGAGGAGAAAGGGGAGAGACGGAAGGCCCGAGACCCCAAACTGTTGCTGGGGGGGGCTCCTGCTACTTCTACATTATGAATTCCGTGCTCTCCTCTTCTACTTAGTTCACTCCTCGGTCGTTCGGAGAGATGCTCCATGTGATGTCTCTGTGC